GAGACGCCGTCCGGCGTGGGGAGTGCTATATAAATCTCAAGCTGTTGTTGTTGTTGTTGTTGTATATCCCACATTTATCATGGATAATTACATGCTAATGATCTGCAGGGCTCATTCAGATCTTCCCTGCACATTTTCTCACACTGGCTTCAGTCCAAAGTGATAGATAGACAGATGAGAGAGGCAAAACTAGCTTGTAGGAAACGGATAGATATTAACCTCTTTATAGAAGTACAGAATATAGAAGTGGAGTCCCGTAGCTTGGCGGTTAGAGCACTCGTCTCGCAAGCGAGAGGACCTGGGTTCGATTCCCGGGCAGGGCGAAACCTTAGGAAACTTTCCTTGCTCCACACACCTCTGTTTGCCTAGCAGTAAGTAGGAACCTGGTTGTTAGTCGAATGGCGGATCACCTTCCGGGGGTAATAATCCCTTAAAAAAATAATTTGGTCACTCAATCCACGGCAGTTTGTGGGACCCTGATATGCTCAATTGTGCACAGCAGATCAGTCACCGGGGGATGGGGTTTGATCGTGCCTTTAAGCGGTCTGGGATGCTATATAAATGCAAGTTGTTCTTGTTATACAGCACCATTCACGTAGGGCGGCATCTCAAAGCGCTTCACAAATACAGAGTTGGACACAGGACAGTTGCAGTTTGGCAGAGGGCTACCCTAACACTTACAATTTAATCTTTGATGAAACTCAACGGCACTGCCTTGCAGGACTCGCCTGAGTTACAAGTATAAACGAGAGAGGCCTTAGGTTAAATTTACAATCCAGGGTGCTTAGCCTAAGCTAACATCTAAAGATTTCCGATATCCTGCAGAATTTGTTTTTTTTTTCTGTTGAAATGCTGGTTTGAGAGAGAAGACTGAGCCAGGGCTTTCGCTGGATAAATAACACGTATTGTCCTCTGGGTGCGGGTATCATGAGAGGGGAATACTTTGAGCTGTGTCGGGGTGTACAAACATTTTTTTTCACCAACGACATATGATTGCGTGCTTTGTGTTAAACACGTGGCTCGATCTCCAAAGCGCTCGTTCTCTTGTGACAATTCAATTCAAAACGCTTGACAAACGACGAAGATAGCGGCATCAACTGACGAGGAAATCCTGAGGACAACACTAAACGGCTTTGACAGATCCCGAGCCGTGCGTGCAGACTGCACGGGCCTGGCCTCGTAGGCACGGCCGGCATTAAACGCCCAAGACGCGAAGCCTTCTGCAACGACCCGTAAAATTAAATGCTATTAAAGCGACTGGGGCCATTGATTGTGGGCTTCAAGTAGTAAACCTCCACGATGTGCATAATGTGCAAACGCAATGGCATCTCAGCTGACAGATAGTGCCTGCGGTTTATTAACACCTGAGCAAGCAGAGCATATTGTCGTTGTTTAAGTGCCTTGCCACCAGCAGCCTTGAGACTGCCTACTATTAACAGTCAGGCACAAAGCCTCCGAGAGCTGGTGTATCGTTCCGTGATGGTGCAACTGGGAGAGCGGAAGGGAAGCAGGCAAACTGACATAAAGTTAATTAAGGCGCGATAAATGAAAAATGTAAATCTATTTCTGCGCGTGTTAATGAGAACATTCGGATTATCGAGTCCCAACTGGGCCATCGAACAGTGCGTGCTTGTTGCCCACGTGACTGTTTGCTCAGTAATGAAGCAGCGCATTGTCAGGACAGGCGGTAATTCAGGTCTAGTAGCGGGCAACTCGAGAGAATGGAATTAAAAAAAACATCTAACTGCCTGCACTCCCCCTCCCACCCCGACATTGCCAGAGATTCAGACGTCAGCACAAAGTGAACTAACTGGGCTTGTGCAATATGTCCTACTGTTGGAAGTGCAGACAGGAGGACAATAAACCTGCCGCGATGAGTTAGGAGAAGGAAAATTCAAACAACACCAGATGTGACACCTACCTAACAAAAGCCCCGTAGCTCTACAATTAAGAGACAATTTCATAGGCAAATATTTGCGCGTGAAACATCTGATGCTTTTGGATATTTGTGTTCTGAAAATATTTCGTGTTTTGCTGGGTTTTTAGGTGGGATACTTCAGGTGACAGCCAGGCTCAACCCTAGCACTCTCGCCTCCGAGTTCGAAGGTTCAAGCCCTCAAGTCGGAGCTTCGAACTCATGTAGTCAAAGAGAAGGGACTTTCTCTCTCTCCTGATGTCCAGGACACTGGTAGAGAGAGAGTCCCTTCTCTTTTCCGCCCCCCCAGATAAAAGGGTGTTGTTCATTTCAGGACTAGCTGGGACGCTGCTGTGCGCAATGCTGTAAATCCTGCGAAGCGGTTTCAGACGTCCTCCTGACGTGACGAGTACTATATCAAATTCAAGGACACTTTTGTTATTACTGCTGTCTGACAGAGCGTCAAAAACAGAACACAATACTCCAGCTGTGGCCTAGGCAACACTTTGCACAGGTGCAGTTTATAGATCACCTGAGTTCTCCAGTATCTCCAGTATCTTCTCTTGCCAGCTGAGCCCCATTGATTAAGCTACATCCCTGTATCTCATTCCCAGTTGTCTGTTATTCTCTATTAATATCCTCTCGGCCGGACTGTGCTGCAAACAAACAACCCCCAGGCTTACTTAGTTGATGATATTCCTCGGTTACTGACCCAGCTGGAGCAATTCCGGGCCACGCAGAAATGACTCTTTATTTTTTAATCTTACACAACAACACGACAGAGCAGCAGTACCCTTTCAGCTAATGATATGATTTGGATTCACAGTCCCCAGCGGACATGCACAGATTGTAATTTGGTTCATTTTGAGAGACGGTGCGTGGAGCGTTTGTGTCGAGTTGAGGCTCGATGGAAAATGTGACGCTTTTCCCCGCCGACTACCCCCCCACCCCCGCATTTAACCCCTTACAGCCCAAGGTGTTGCCCATGAAAAGTTTCCAATGGAACATAAGAGCTTAAGAATGTGTCCCAAAGGAGACCATTCAGTTGGCCTTCCCCCGTGCTGGCAGTCGCTTGCACATCTAACGAGATGGATTTCTGTTTCCGAACAGAAATCTATCTTGTTTGTTCCTTGAAAGAATCAACACTTGCTGTTTCCACCGTCTCCGCAGGGAGCCCCTGTTCCGTACGTTTACGACTCGCTCGCCGAAGGAGTGTTTCCGCAGATTTGTTCTGAATTTATCTCAACGCAACAGCGGCTGTGAGAAACGGCGCAGCGCCTTTCAGTCACTGTTAAGAAGCACTTTAAGCTGGGTGGACATTTCAACATCAACGGACATGTTTAGCTCCATCTCAGACACCTCACCTCCAAACAGCGGTACCTGAGATGTCTTAATCCGTTCAGCTGTGCAGAGCTCGGTCTGGCTCAGTGGTAGCATTCTCGCCTCTGAGTCAGAAGGTTGTGGGTTCAAACTCCCTGTCGGGACTTGAACTCACAGAGTCTAAGTTGACAGTCCAATGCAGGGCTGGGAGGGTGTAATATTGACGGAGGTGACATCCTTCGGATGAGACGTTAAACTGGGGTTCCGTCTGCCTCCTCGGGTGAATGTTAAAGGTCCCATGGCTCTATTCAAACAGAGAAGGGAGTTTTTCTCTCCTGGTGTCCTGGCTGACAAGCCCCCCACGTAAAATTGGCCACTCAATCCATGGCTATTTATGGGATTTTGCTGTCTGCAAATGTGCTGCCGCACTTGCCTACAAATACACAGTCGCTACACTTCACGGTAATCACTGTGAAGTGCTTTCAGACGTCCTTCCGCCACGATAAGGCGCTATTCCAGTTGTAAGGATTATTATTATAACACCGTTCGTTTGTTTGTGATTATATATACACTAGTTACAGTGAGCAGTTGATATTAATGAGCAGTGAGCTTCAAAACTCCTCGAAGTCTTTGCGTGTCTTGCAGTGAGCATATCAGCGAGCTCGGTCTGATAATTGCAGCTCCTGACATGTACATCCACTGTAAGCTTGCAACTTGATTTATATTATTACCGAATGCAATTTAATCATATTGTTAGGTCTTTTGTCTTGAAAACACCAGTGAGGCTTCTTTGTTCCAGGAAAACCGACGTCTCCAAACTCTGTAATCATCTCGTTCCCTCGATACCGTTAACGCACACAATCTGATTCAACATTCTATCAGCCTTTGCTAATTAATAAACTAATTCAAACTAATTCAAATCCAATTGTGTTTGTCACAATCATTGCAGTTTTATGCACAAAAAAACACCCCAAAAGGTGTTGACGTTCATCTAATTTGAATCTTATCAACTCCGCAATCACATCAAGTCATTTCGATTTAAACTGCAGTGGGTAATAGGTCCATTTCTGAGGGGACTGCACTGGGGAAATGTGTCAACAGCTACTAAGAATCTTGTTTATATAAATGTCCCCTCTTCCCCAACCCCATACTCCCTCCCCCCCCCCCACCTCCGTTGTGTTCTGCTCTTTGGCCGGCTGCAAATCATTTTCTCTGCAGGGTTTCTTTTCCTCTAAAAGCAACCGACGGGTGTCCATTAAGGCTTAGGCAATGAAAAACATGTCCATCCACCAGTAGAAATAACAGGAAGCATGCCTTTTTTTTCTGCTAATGTGTTGCCACCCGTTTCACCTATGGTTTGGGTGAAGAAGACCCTTCGGTCCACTTGATCTCGTCTGCCCAAACTATCTGAGCTGCTGTTTCCCACCATCGCAGCATTGAGCTGTTTCTTAAATAGGATCCTTCCCACAACCACCCTTCCTGGTAACCTGGTTCCAGTTGTTAATAATAATAATAATAATTAAAATCCTTGCATTTGATGTAGCGCCTTATCACGTCTTTGAGACAAGTTGCACGTCTCAAAGTGCTTCACAGCATACACTATCAAGTGAATTGACTGTGTATTAATGTAAAAAAGAAGCTTCCTGATGTTTCTCCCGAAACTTCCCGATCTTGCCCAACACAAGATCGGGGGGCAATCCGTTCGGATAAAAAAAAAACCTCCCAGAGCACATAAAACGGCACATGAAATTCCCCCGTCACTCACCCCTCCGACCTTCTCAAAGTGATCCCCGTCCCTCTTGAAGTCGATGACTTGGCCGTTGAAGGACCACGAAAACTCGAGGTTCAGCGATGGGTCGTGCGAGACTTGGCACGGCAGGATGGTGCTCTCGCCTACCGTCACGTCCATGTCTGACGGCGGGATGGTGATTATCGTCGCATCTGTTGGGGATTGAAAAACGAGATAAGCCATTAGCTGAGCGGGCCTTGAAGTTCTTGCATTTATACAGCGCCCCGGAGCCCGTACCAGTGGCGGAGTTTGACCCTGAGCCGGGGGAGAGAGAGATGGGGGAGGTGACCATAAGCACGATCAAAATGGAAGGTCCTTAGGAGGGATTTGAAAGTGCAGAGGGAGAGGGGTGAGGCAAAGGGATTGAGGGAGAGAGTTCCAGAGCTTCGGGGCACAGTGATTGAAAGCACGGCTTGGAACAGGTTAGACGAGTGGTGGCCTAATTGGAGTTGAGGTACAGATCAGCCATGGTCGAACAGAATGGCGGAACAGGCTAGAGGGGCTGAATAGCCTACTCCTGTTCCTTTGTTCCTAATGTCCGACCTGTGGCCCACGGGCCAGAAATGGCCCAGGGGTCTGTCAAGAAGCACCCCATCCCCCCCCACCTTCAATCAAGAACATTTATTTTGTTGGCCACCCATAAAGGTTGGTCTCCACTGGGTATTGTTAAAATTGCCAACTTTTGCCTTTCCCACCAGAAAAGTTTCTCTCCTTCCCTTCCCCTCTTTTCCTCTTTCTAATTCTTGCTCAGGTACTCTCCTCACCAAGGGATACAGCCCCCACATCCCCATTCCCCCCCACCCCCCTCCACACACACACATCTGGAAAGTTAGCGCTTACAAGATACTTGATCACAGAAGCATCGCCTACAAGATGCACAGTCACTACACTACACTACACAGCCAATCCCGTGAAGCGCTCTGAGACCTCCTCACAAGGTGAAAGGCATTGTATCAAAGTAAATTTTTTTTTAAAACAAAGTCAACTCTGATTTTAAGCTTGTACGACGATGTGCACTTTTCCGGGCAGGTCTTCAGCCCCTCTGCCCCCACCCTCCGGAACTCCATCCCACAGCCCATCTGCCTCACCCCCTCCCTCGCCTCCTTCAAAACCCTTCTCAAGACCCTCCTCTTCGACCGTGCCTTTGGTCACCAGTCTGTGTGCAGAACCCAATCAAGAAAGGATTTTTTTTTAAAAACTTAAGAAAAAGCCCAGGGATTGTTCAGCAAGTGACGGCTATTAAACAGCTTAGCGATAATTCTCTGCATCCCGAAGCGTTGGATATCGCTTACTAAATAGCCGGTCGGTCAGATTCCACTCCGCTTAAATATCCTATTTCCCAATGTCTGCTCGCACTGTTGTGTCAGATCAGTAAACGGTTTGATTAAAGCCCAGCGTCGATGAGTCTGCCACCAGACAAAGTGCTTCAAAGTGCTGTCTAATTATCCGAGCTGAGGGGTGTGAGCCGAGGGGGTGTTGGGGAAAGAAAAGACAACCAAAAGTGCAGTCAATTAGGTGATCTCTTTCATTTGAGATTTCCAACACACTCAATGACGAGAGCTACTTTTGCCCCTTTGTGGGCTTTTTTGGCTCCGGGCACCTTAACTGTTGCATGTGCCTGCAAACGCACAGTCACTACACATGGCAGCTATCACCTAGGAAGAGCCTCGTTACTTTACGCTAGATTCTGCGAAGGGTTTTGAGACGTCCTCCTGATGTGAAAGGCGCTGGATCAAAGGATAACGTAAAAACCGCTTTAGGAAACTGGATTTTAAATAGAAATACCAGCGCGAGTGTCATATCCTGGCTCCTATCTTGGAGGATAAGCCTTCAGTTAACATGGCTCCACTTTCTGAAACACCCGACCCCTCTCAGGCCCTCTCCTCTGTCTTTAGAATCTGCTCAAAAACATCCCTCTCCGCCTGGTGTCCTGCACTGTTGGACTATATGCAATCGCAACAAATATTGCTGTTGTTTGCTTACCGTCCTCACTCAATGGCTATTTAACTGAATGACTGACAATACACCACACTCTGCTTAGTCGTATGGGATTTTGATTAGGCCGAGATTATTTTATTCATTCCAAATGTCATGAATATGAATTTTCTGGTCTGCGGAAAACATTCCATTCAAAGACTAAAACAAACAACAGAATAAAGGCGCAGCAGTGGGACGCATTAAAAGATGACTTTCCCTCCTTTTTTTCCCCTCAAAGAATTTCGAATAAGTGTGCGTTCATAGCCCACCGCGTACATTAACAAGAGCAAGTCGGCATCTCAGTCTGTGCGCGTGAGTCAATTTCCATACACGGAATAACTGGGAAAACCTCCTTTGTCCCTGAATGTCACCGAATCATTTCACAACAAAAGGAGCTGTGGGATTCTCGCAACAACAACAACGTGCATTTATATAGTGCCCCTCACGACCCCACTCTGTTGTAAACTGGAGGATCTTTCTATCTCTCTATCTCAAAAGTCTTTATGTCTTTCCAATGCAATCTGATGCTAAATAATACAGTACTCGTTCACACAGACCTGAAGCAATAAACGTGTGTCAGCACAATTTTATCCTTGCCTGACAGGGAGACTGTTTCTACTTCTAAAAAGCTTGAGCTAAAACCTGTAAGATATTGTAGAAAGCCGTCTCCTAAAGATGAGCAAATCTTCAATCGTTGAAATACGATTCCCAAGGCGAAGACAGCTTCTCTTCGTTTTCTAGGTTTCTTTTAGAAAATAATATCTTGGGATACAGTATATGAGTAATTTCAGACACGTGGTACGCTTGGAAGAACCAGGCCACTTTGGGTCTATGTTTCCGAAAGCTTTCCACTGTGATGGTCGACTAATCCATACAGAATTAATTACTATCGACATCTCCATTATTGTAACATGCGACTACCAGGATGGTAGACGGTGAACTGGATGGACCTTGGTCTTTTTTCATCGAGCATGTTCCTACGTGTATCCCATCGTTCGTGTTGGCCCAATTCCCACTTCCACCCTTAAGACACAAAGCGGAATTGCTTTTAGTTCAGTGCTACATGCAGACTGAGCTTTGAGCAACGACTGGACAAGCAAAGGCTCTTTATCCTCGAGAGAAGACAACAGCACAACAACAAGACCTTGCATTTATGTACTTGCAAGACGTCTCAAAGAGGAACGTACAGAAGAGGTGTGCAATGTTTAAGATAGAAAAGTGAACCCAGAACAATACTTCAGAATGCCCCAAGACAGGTTGAGAGTGGCAAGGGCCAATTTCAGGAGAGACACCATTGAGAGTATTTTTGTACCTGGGGGGTAATTATTGACTGGAACCGGTGGGTAGGAAGGGCTACTTGAGGCCAGGACTCTTTCATCTCTTTTTCAACAAGGTGGCGGGATCTTTAACATCAACAGGTACAGACGGGAGCTCGGTTTGACGTCTCATCACACCACTGCAATTACTGACAGGCAGCAAATAACCGGCGCAAATCTCGCTGCGCAGTGCGGGATGAAGATCCATCAATGTTCATTAAGCGGTGAATGCAAATTTGCGAGCATTCATTTCCAAGCGTCTGCGAGAGAACACTCACTTAAAAAATAAGCTCGCTCATGAATGTTCATTTCAAACACACAGCTGGCATTTGTTCTTAAATGCCCACATGTTATTTTAAGCAGGATCAACTTGGGGGAAAACATATTTTTTTACTGGCATTGATGTAGATCAGAAAAGCAAGTCAAATCCACTTTCAACTCTTTTTTTTTTAAATTACCTTCAAATAAAAGACTGAATTCCTACAGCTGCAATCGGGTCACACCTGGAAACTGAGCGGGGAGATAGATCCAAGGCAAGTTGACTGCGAGACGTTTCATTCAACCTGATTCCGAGTCATTCATTGCACAAATTTATCAACAGAATTGCAACCCAAAGGCCCTTCCTGTGCTAAGATATATTTAGTGGTAATGAAATATCGTGTAAAACAGCCACATTATGGATGGTCTCGATTTCTGAAACGCTCTGAACAGATGATCCAATGTACACCAGTGCCTGACTGGTCCCAGATCAGTGATGCACTATCCTTGTGGAACAAGATCATGGGGTATCATAGAAACAGGATGTCAGGGTTACCCTATCCTTGCAGTCTTTTGTCTAAATGTGTAAATACTATGTATATGTAACGATATGATATTATTTAAGGGAAATGGGGAAGGCTTATCCCTTTAAATGGGTTCTGTTTCAGAAGCTGCTTAAGAACATAAGAACATAAGAAACGCTCGACGAAAGGAGGCAAAGGAGGGAGGGAGGGAAGGAGGGAGGGAGGGAGGGAGGTGGAGGGATTACGGGATGGAGTTCCAGAGGGTGGGGAAAAGGCTAAAGGCTCAACCGCTGATGGCAAGGTGGTGACACGGAGCAGGCCAGAGCGAGCCGAGCAGAAGGAGCGGACAGATTGGTCCCAGGAAGCAATGAGTGTTGGAATGCAAGGGAAGCCTGAGGTTTACTGGGTTCTTGCCGTGTTGTAGTTAACCAGGTCATGTTAGCTAGCGTTCATTTCAAAAATTTCCCCCTCAAAGGATGAGTGTGTTTCAAACAATAATAATCCTTGAAAATAATCCTTGCATTTGAGACAGCGTCTTATCACGTCGTCGAGGGGTCTCAAAGCGATTCACAGAACATACTGTAGAGTGAATTGACTGGATATGTTGTTGGCGAAATCCGGCAGCCAATTGCGCACAGCAGCGTCCCACAAACATTGAGCGAATTGAGTGACCAAATTATTAATATTATTTTATTATCCTCGGAAAAGCGATACGCTAATCGACTAACAACCGGGTTCTTACTTACTGCTAGGTAAACAGGTGTGTGGAGTAAGGAAATTTGCCCAACGTTTCACCCTGCCGGGAATCGAACTCAGGTCTCTCGCTTGCGAGGCGAACGCTCTAACCACTGAGCTACAGGACTCCTCTACAGGAGCTTCAAATCCGACTGATCCTGTGAAAGGGTTACACAAAGTCTGGGATGCAACAGGGAAAAGGTTCCAAATGGACAAGCAAACCTGCCAGAAAGCAGAGAAAGATGACTTAAGGGATGATTATCTCTTAAAGAAGACAGATGCTTTCAAAGCCACTCCATCCCTTATAAATAAAGACAAAGAGGTGGGCGGGGGGGTGGGGGG